TAACGGTGCCGACATTCTCGATTCTGATTCAGGTTCTTTCCCCTTCACATACCTTGGAGTTACTATTGCATACAACATGTGCCTTAAAAGAAATTGGTCTGCCATCATTGAGAAAGTCAGTCGCAAATTATCAGACTAGAAATAGAAAGCTCTTTCCTTTGGCGATCGGTTAATTTGGTTAAGTCTGTGTTGGGCAGTATGCCCCTCTATTACTTCTCCTTATTTAGAGCCCCTGCCTCCATTATCAACCATCTCAAGAAGATTCGGCGCCGATTCCTTTGGGGAGATTGTGATGAAAAGAATAAAAGTTGTTGGGTTAATTGGAAAGTTGTGTTGGCTAGTAAATAAGAAGGCAGATTGGGAGTTGGCTCTCTAAAAAAGTATTAACTTGGATCTCCTCTTCAAGTGGATTTGGCGGATATTAAATGAGCACTCTGTTCTGTGGAAACATGTTATATGGGGTATTCACAATCTTGACAGGAAACCTATTGCCAACATGGAGAAAAAATCCATCTCAGGGGTTTGGACTAATATTGTCAAATCCATTAGCAATATCAAAAACCTTAATATTAACCTCGACCAAATTTTAACTTGCAAAGTTGGTTCTAGTGCTCACACTTTCTTTTGGGTGGAGTATTGGACCGGTGGTGGTTCTTTTGCTTTGCGTTTTCCTGGGCTTCTGGATCTTGATATCTAGAAATCTTGTTATATCTCCGAGAGAATTTCACCCAACGGTTTCACATGGAGGTGGAAACGGGCTCCTAGACACCCATCTGAGCTCCTTGAGTTTGCTCATTTGGTCAGCATGTTACAAGATTTCTCTGTTTCGGATACTCATGACAGGTAGACTTCCCTCTCGCCCCTGATGGTAATTACAATTTTTTTGACCTCAGGTACAAAATTGATTCTCATCTGACTTGTGGAATCTATAACCCGATGGTTTGGTTCAAGTTGGTGCCTCTCAAGGTGAATTGCTTTATCTGGAGAGCCTTTTTGAATCGGATCCCGACCTCTGAAACCTTGGCTCGAAGGGGGGTTCGCATACCCAACCCCTCATGTCATTTATGTGATGACAATTATGATGATGCAAATCATTTTCTTGTGGGATGCCTTTTCACTCAGGAGGTATATTTTTGGATCTTCAAATGGTGTGATTTACCTCTTCCGTCCTTCTCTAATGTCATGGAGGTGATTCATTTTGCTTCTAATTGGGGCCGATGTCCAAAGAAGAGAAAATTGCTCTTTGTTATCCTTTATGCTCTTCTTTTAAGTGTTTGGAAGGCGAGAAACGACAAGATTTTTAATAACCGGTTCACCTCTCCTTCGAAAACGGCGGATTGCATTATTAGAATGGTGTTCAACTGGGTTAATTTTAGGGGTAATTTAGACATTGGTAATTGGTTTAATTGGGTTGTTTGTCATTTTAAAATTGTTTAAGTTGTTGCTTTTTGTTCTCCCAACCTTCTTTCTCTAAGGCTGGTGCCCTCTGCTTTTTTATAAAATTCGTCGTTTCAAAAAATGTAATAACGAAGTTGTTAAATAAATGAAAATTATAGGGAAAACCTCAGAAAAACCCAACGTATTTTCATTAAATGCTTAAAAAAATCATTATATTATTTTTTAGTACACTAAAACCCTTATATTTTCTAAAATTTTTATTTAAGGTTTTCTGACCTCAGAAAAACCTAATCTATTTTCATAAAAGGATTATAAAAACCATTATATTTTTTTAGTGCATTTAAACCCTCATATATTTTTTTTTTAATTTTTTGGTATAATGAATTGTAACAATAGAAACGTTAAGAATCGATAACCTAACATTTTTGGCTATCTAGGACTTACCAAGCTCAATGTCTTAAATTATACATTTTAAAAAATACAAGGGTTTTAACATAAAAAAAATAATATAGTGGTTTTTAAGACATTCATGAAAATATGTTGGGTTTTTATAAGATTATCCCAAAATTATAAGAAAAAATTGTAGCTCAAATCATTTGTTTTTGACAACCGATATCAGCGAATTTAGAATACGTCTTAAGGAATATTTTGCAGCTCACGATGTTGGTTGCAGCCTCAACTTCATATACGTTCAACAGAATCACATGGTGAAATCACCAACTAAGCGTGGTGTTTTACGGTGGCCTTTTGCAACCTACTTTAATTTATTTTTATTTGTACAGTTTTTTTTGTTAATCAAAACAACCTACTTTCTTTTACTTGTTTACCATAACATGTTATTTTAATTTATTTTACTAGAAAGCAGAAGTGTGTTTTGTGCACTGAACATGTTTTTTGAAAGTAGGATGCTATAAGAAACAATTCAGTAAAGTATGACACAATTTATTGCACTAAACATGATTTATGAATCTGCTCATATATTCACTTTGCAACCTGTGTGTATGTAATAAGTAGTTTCATGCTATCAGTGTGCCCTTAAGTTGAAATCGGATCTTGTCATTGGTTTTTGTTAGTAATAATATCATACTTTGTTGCTATGTTTTATATAAATTGACTCTATTGTCCAGAAAATTTAGCAAGAATATACTGTAAATAAATAAGATTTATTTGAAATGTTTTATTATTTTATATTTTATGAAATAAATAAATAAATATTATTTTATCAAAGAAAAATAGAGATAAATATTATATTTATGCTATTAAACTAGCAACAATTAAATTCTATTGTATTCTTTAAATTACAACTAAACATTTAAATTATGTCGTATTCTTTAAATTACAATTATAATTTATATATGGTTGTGTTTTATCAAAGTATAACTTTCTTTACAATGAACCGATTTTAATTTAGCATACCAAGTTTATTGGATCTGATTTCACAAATAATATTCTTTTTTATAAAAGCCTAATATGATATTAATAGAAAACACGACACATGCCTTCCAAAAAACAAAAAGAAAAAGATGACATATATAAATTCTAATCTAATTACTTGGGTAAGTATTAAAATACAAATTTAAGAAATATATCATTGGTCTTCATTGCACTTAGCATGGGATACACAAAAGGGAACATAGAAGATGTTTGTCAAAGTTCATTTTTTATGGACTTATTGTAAATAGAGGGTGGTGCAAATTAAAAAAAAGAAAGATTTTAAAAACAAACCGATAATAATGTGTGGCCTAATGATTGTGTTATGGATTTGACAGAAATTATAAAAATGAGAGTAGTCCAACATTGAGCAAGAGATAAACTATTTTGCGTAAGGGGTTAGCAAAAAAGACACCTAAATTTTCCAATTAGATACCCTATTTGATTTTTAAGGTTTTTTTATTGATTGAATTTGCATAATTTTTTGAAAAAGTTAATTATAAATAGTTTATTATAGGTTGACTTTTAATAAAAGTGTTAATATGATGTCTAAGGGGTGTTAATTTAGCAACACCCTTCCGTAATAAGGATTATATGTTCTTTATAATATAACATGCTTTAGAAATAAACCATTTTCCCAAAAAAAAAAAACAAAAACAAAAACAAAAAAAATGATAAACGAAAATTAACCACCCCACACATATTTTTAACGTAGATCAACAACATCTATTTTTGCCAAACCACTAATGCATTGTGGTATTTGGACTATAATATGTTTACGAAAAAATATTTTTTGCAAAAAAATAAAAAAAAAAAAGAAGACTTTTCACCGTAGTAACACCCCCTTAAAAGGAATTTGGCCTGCATATATAAGCGTTTGAGGATCGTAAGAACTAAAGAACTATTAATATTTTGTAACTTGGTTAATACTTAATGATTTTATATTTTTAAGGTTTGATCTCATAGACGCAAGGAAACTATTCATCGAAATGTATTAACCACCGTCCAAAAACTATTTGCACCCGTCGCTTAGTGTGGGTAAACGTCAAATATATATATATATATATATATATATATATATATATAATTCACTTCTGACCTTTAAAAAATAACTTATTTTTACAAAAATAAATATAATAGAATAAATTATTAGTAACTTGGAGTATCCTACTAGATTTTGTAAGAGACTTTCTAATAAGATGTTTTTGTTCACTTAGTTGAAAAATGGTTAGACCAAATGAAGCTGACCAGTACTATGCATCTATCTTTGAAAAGCATTTTTAGTAATTGATTCACCCTTCTTTTTATCATTACATCTCCCCTTGATTTGATTTTTTGTCATCTAAACTATTAGTTGCACAATCAATACATCAGTGACCAACATTCCCGGGCTTTCTAAATTAAAATAGGGAGGTGATAATTCCAAGGATTGTAATCGATACTTCCACGTATTTTAAAGCAAAATGACAATTGTGCCCCTTTGTAATTAATTAATCGTTAAACCTCATTCAGATTCTTTAAACATCCAACTATTCAATTCTTTTGCCCTCCTCCTCATCTTCCATAACCACGCTAACCACCTGCTATATCTTCTTTCTCGATATCTCCACCACCACCACCACCATCATCTCTCCTTCTTTCTCCGACACCAGCAACTTCACTGACACCCCTATCTCATTGCTTGATACCGTCACATTCATCCTCTGCTTCATATATAGCGGTCACCCAATCATCGGAACACCGTGTTTAATACTCAGTTCTAAACCTAAAGCCAACTCAGACCTGAATCTTTGGTTCGCATAACTTATTTCGCTTTGGCATACCCATCAGAAGCCGATTTAATCCGTTGGTGAGTGGTGCTATAGGAATTGGGATAAATGTGGGAATGTCGCTGAAGAATTTATTTCCTTCTTCACTTGCAAAATGAATTCCTTCTGGTTAATTATGCAGGGTGGTTTTCCTTTTAAGAGCAGATTAAGGTGAAAGTGATGACGGCGGGGGACGGGGATTCTTGTGGAGTGTATTCCTGGAAACCTCGTTTCTTTTTTGGTATAATGGTTTTACTAAATTTACTAAAAATATGCTTGTGAATAATCAATTAAAATTTAAATAGAACCAGGGACATAATTGTCATTTTCTTTGAAAAATCAGTGGATGTATCAATAACATCCGTGGAATTATCAGCTCCCATTAAAATAACCTTATTCTTATTTAAAAACAATATATGAAATAAACAACATATCTTAAACATTTTTTGCGACAATTCAAATATGTATAAAACTTAAGACACAATCAAAAGTTCTTCTCCCTCTTATCATCAACAAAAGATCTTCTTTATCACTTTTCATGGTATCGTAAGACCTACAGAATCCAAATCCATAGTTAAATACTATTGCAATTGCATACATTATAACACAGATAAAGAAGTGAGAGAGAGAGAGAGAGAGAGAGAGAGAGAGAGAGAGAGAGAGAGGAATTACTTCCACATGTGAAAGGTCGAGGGACTCTGCGTCCACAACCTTCAATAAATTTAACAAGGCGATTGACATTGATGGTAGCAAGCAACCCAGGGGTGATCACAGGACATATGCACTCAACATGGCTAACCCGAGCTCGTTTGCAACAAGTTGATGATGGACGCCTGCCATACATCACACTTATGCAGGCATTGATGGCGAGCTTCCTCTCTTTTTTGCAATGGGCAGCACTTGGTGCTGCCCTCGTCATCCCCAAGATCATCATAAGAATCAAAACAACAACCAAACTTGTATAAATTTTCATTTCAAAAAGTTTTAAGTTTTGAATTTTCTTGTTTTCTAACTTTACACTATATGAGGGGGTTTATATATAGAGTTGAGTGATAATGCGAACGACTGTGGACTTTGGAGTAGTGGGGGTCAACGACTTACGCGGTACTAATTTGATTAATTGATGATGATTTCGCTATTACCATTTTACCCTTGAACAATTTCTTTTCTATTTTTTATATCTATTTGATCTACTTATATTTTTATATTAATATAAAATTTCTGTTATATGCATATACTGTTACATACATATTTTTTATTTTTTATTTAAAAAAACCACAGTTTTGCGTACCAACTCTATTCTAATATTACTCTTTTGAATTATGATCCTGTAAATGTGATGAACATGTGATATAGATATATTTAGCTTAAGACTGCGAATCATGTTTGAAATTTATGATAGGTTAATTTTAAAGGCTTTGAAATTAAAATTGTTAAGATAGTGTTGGGTATAATCAAACACTATAACATAATGAAAAACTCTGTTAGTGTGCCTAGTGGGATGAAATGAATCATTTGTTGTGAAATGTAATTCATTCTCATGTGCCGTTTTTCATTCTACGAGAGATGTTTTTTTAAGGGAATGAAATTATGTATTATAATTAGCGGATGTATCTTTCGTATTTGTTTGTTGAAAAATAAGAAAAACATTCAAAAAGCCCATATATTATGGGTTCACCTATTGAAACATTTTTTTTTTAAGAAAAAGACAAAAATCTTATAATTGTTTACAGAAAAATACAAGAAACCAACATTAGCTTATATATTTTGAATTTTAGATAGTAATCTTAATTTTTTTAACCAACAATTTTCAAAGAGATTATATATTCTCAGTTTATTAATGATAAAATGGTTTTTATAGCAGAAGCATGAAGTACTATTCTATTATAATCTTATTAGATTCATTCTATTGACAGACAAAGTATATTATTTTATTGTATTCTTTTTGTTTGATTGATCTTGTTTTACTGTATTTTATATGTCACACATGGCTTTGTCTTAATGTAAGATTAAAACTTTGATCATAAAGTTACAAAAAAAAATTCAAAAAAAAATGATCAGAAAGGTATAAAAAACAACTATGTTTAGGTTAAAAACTTCAATAAAAAAGCTACAAAAATAATAATTTCCAAACAGATGATATCATCGGTTAGACACAAGGAATAGAATACGATTAATACTCATTATCAAGAAAAGTGAATACAATAAATTTACGGTATGATAATACCCTCGTATACAAAAAGAATACAATAATATTATAGTAAGACAATACACTTTTGAAAATAAAAGGAATATATTAATATAATACCATCAATAACATTATAATAAGATAAAAACTTTTTGTTAAAGAGAGACCATAACAAGATTATAATAAGACAATACTATTTGTTAAACCAGATAATACATTAATATAATACCATCAATAACATTATAATAAGATAAAAACTTTTTGTTAAAGAGAGACCATAACAAGATTATAATAAGACAATACTATTTGTTAAACCAGATAATACATTAATACTATAATAAGATAATACCATTTGTTATATAATGATGATTATCATAAGACAAACTCATATCAAACATAGATGATGTATTTAGATCACAATAAGATAATATCATACGTGAAAAATGAAAAAGACAATATTTTTAGATTACACTAAGATAATATTTTTACTATCAATTATATTAAAATAATATTCTCAGTCATTTACTATTCAAAAAAGTTATGGATTTATCGTTAATGAGTCTTTTATATACATATTAGTCTACAAGATATCAACTAAAACTAAAATCTCCTATCTATAAAGAAGTAAATTTTTTTGTGATTTTCTATATAAAGTAGTAAATTTTTTTGTGATTTTCTTTAAACAACTGTCAAAAAAAAAATATCCTTAATGTATTTTTTTTCACTAATATATAACTCTTACAAGTACATTACCATATTAAGGTGTTTTGTTTATTAAAAGAAATATTTTATGTAAATTGAGTCTAAAGTTGTTTTCAGTTGACTGATTAGGTCGATCAAAACATTTCGTCAGTAGTATTTATTACTAATTAATATTGATCAACGCTTGACCTACTTCGATTTGGCCTTTAAGCAAGGATTAATTAGCAGTTAGTGGAAATTATCACTCCACCCGATGCGTTGACACTAATAAATAATCAGGTGTTCATATTTTAGTTTAATTGGTCGAGGGAGGAGTTGAATCAGTCTTCTACTACTTCTCCATGTACGGAGTAATAGTGTAACGTAAGAGTAGGCCAATTCGTGTCCACACCTAGAAAGAGCAAAAGCCTCATCATTGCTTCATAAGTTGTACATTCGGCATAACTACTTGTACCAACTACTTACTTAATTCTAGGCTTAACTTTGATTAGGAAGACAGTCTTCTAATTTTGTTGTTTTTATCATGATTTTAGGAAAGTTATTAAAGCATTTTTTCGTATTATTCTTATAAGACAACAATTATAATAATTAGAACTTGGAAGGTACAATATAAATGAATCGAAGAGCTTGACTTTAGCTTTCAGGTTGAAGCAAAATTTAAGGTTGTTTTTGGCATATAAGCTAACTTGAATTTTACAAGGGAATTGCTATATTCTGCATGATGAGACTATGAGAATAGTTTACAGACCATGAGAGTAGTTTACAGATTAATTTTTCAATAAGCTAAAAACTGGTTAGTTAAACATGTAGAGTTGGAGGCTTGGAGCAATAGGTGATCCACAAATAATTAATATCTATTTTTTGAACTTTAGAAAAACTCAATATGTTTAATATAATTGAAGGATTATGCAACCAAAAAAGATGAAAGACCATTATTTAAAGATAACGAGTTCGTGGGCGCCCTACCACGGGTCCCCATTTTTATGAGGATGGGAAGAGGGTTCGCCCTATGAGCGATATTCTAAAGCACATAAGTATGTCATACACCAACTCTTAACTAAAATTGTTACGCATGTTTTCCCAATGAACTTGATTGCAAGTGGTTAGTTTTAAGATGAAGTTGTGGGTTTTGGAACTGATGCGTGACATGACTTTGAAGGTTCGTCGCGCATCTAGCGTGTGTCCAGTGCAACATACCTAAGAGATGGCACGACGTGCCGTAGTTGGCAACTAAAACCCTAATTTCTTGGACTCATTGTAGTGTAAAGAAGCGAGTATTGATCTTCCAATTTGCGTCATGTATAGATTTGTTAGTGTTTTGGATTTCATTAGAGTTAGGGTTTGGTATTTTGCATGTTTTAGACCTGTATCCGGATAAAATTGAAAATTTTATCCATTAAAGCCCTCATTTGATTCCGATTTGAGAATTATAGCCTTTGACTAGAAGGTTTAAGAGCTTAACAGAAAGGCTGTTAACTGAAGAACGTGGTGTGCCTACTTATGGTCGCAAAGCACCTCTCGATGCCTTTCGCGACACATTATGTGAAGATCGAGGCGCGCCTAGCCGTTAACATGACTGTTAACTTTGACTGTTGACTATTAACTTTTTAACCGGTTTGACTTTTAGTCAAACTTTGATGTATTTGAGTGCTAGACTGAGGAATTGGTTTCGGCTTGGTGTTTGGTGGTTTATGCTAGTAGTTTCGTTACAGAGGTTGTTGTTGAGTTTCTACTGCTAGATTCAGATGAGTTTTCTCACTATACATCGTATGACAATAGATATCCTTGTATGATATGATGTAGGTACTATTAGAGTATGATTATACAAGTCGACTAGATTAGTCTTTTATATGTTTGTTGTTTGTTTAATTGTATGGTGCTTGTATGTATCATGTTTGAGGGGTTGATGACGGAACGATGATAGGCTGGGAGTCTAGATACCCATAGTCGTTGACGAAACGATGATACGTTGTGATTCAACTTTTTGTTATGTTTGGAGGCAGGGCCGGTCCATTAGTTTTTCATGCCCAGGGCAAGATTAATTAAAAATGCCCCTATATGTGTACATTATAATTCAAGAAACACATACTACATAATATTATTAAACATAGTGCAATACATTATTATTTATTATTTCTTATCAATAACAACTACAACTATGTTTTCTTGAAAACATTAAACAATTTCATTGTTCTGGATAATGTAATTCAAGATTTCTATTTTGCTAAATTGCTAACCATTAATTTCATCATATCCAATCTCATTACTCATTAGAATTGGAACTTCCATAAGGTCTGATACATCAACATAACCTGCAATTGAACACAACAAAGAACATTGTTAATACAAAAATCTATAAAAAATCGTGCTACCATAAGTAACATATCTCATATGCTAATTATTACCCCATACCAACTAGTCTAGCAATACTCAAATCTCCTAAATCAATATTCATTATCTCGTTTCAATCCACTTTCCTTTTCTGGTGTGTAATAGCTGTTTATCTACTTCTTTTTTCCAAAATCATAGAAACCTTGAACAATTTGAAGCAACTACTCTTAAAATCAAGACAAATACTAATATTGAAAGAACACAAATTTAAACGGTGATATATTACCCAAAAAGGTGATGTACCTGCATCATGGGGTGACCAACTTTTTTTATGATGTGTTTAAAATGCATGTTACAACTTGCCACACAGCCATATCACAATTTCCATCTACAATGATATGTAGCTTTCCATCAAATGTTGAGGAGTATACTTGAAAAAGAAATAGTTTTATCAAAAAGTTGAACGATGAACACAACTCAAAAAATAACTAAAAATTAAAATAGAAATTGTATTGAAGCTAGTCTAACACAAAATCAATAATCCAGAAAAAAAGCAATATTACATCAACAACAAATAGAGTACAAAAGCAACAATTGTGAATCAATATTTAACATCGGTATTTACAAATATGTAAATTTCCTCCAAACCTGAACTTTGAAATACCCCAATGCCTGAATAGTCATCATCCTTGAGTTATCAGAGATACAAATAATTTAATCTCAAATTGGAAACCAACTATGGGGTATTTACAAT